TTTGTGGGAAAAAGAGAACGACCAGTGTGCAGATTCACCCTAGCCACACAACTCTCTAGGTGAGCCTGGGGAGCCCCCAAGCTGGCGCTCCAGAGCATGGTGACATCAGGCCTTTTCCTATTTCTGCTGCTCCTAAATGGGGCCCAATTGGGAGACCATGGAGGAGCTGGAGGAGGGGTAGAGCCTACCTGCATGTCTGTATAGTGCTGAGCACAACTGTGGTGCTCAGCAGAGAACCAAACCTCCCGGGGCTCAGCAGAAAACTCTTGAGGTGTAGCTCTGATCTGGGAAATTGAATCCATGCAGGGGGAGGAATCTGCCCCAACAGTGGCACCAGGGAGAAGGGAGAGGCTATGGGAAGAGGCCAGATCCCTGGAGCCAGGCTAGACCAGGTATGTCACCCAGAGACATACTGAGTGGATTAGGCAGTTTCATGGAGACACGTCTGTGCGTGGCACTGAGCCCAGCACGGCTGCCACTTTCCAGCCCTCCCTTCAAGCACATACTGTACTGCACAGTGACAGAAAAATATGAGCCGGATTAGAGGAGAGCCCCCGAGGGACACAGAGATATGCACAGAGCCTGGGGTCAGAGTCCCCTGATTAGTCAGAGACTGCAAACACAGCAGAATTTTCTACAGAAGAAACACCCGTTGTCCTCATAGATGCGTCTGCTGGTGTAGGGCCCATCTATGTAGCTAGTCTATATGACTGAAGCCTGTGGCTTGGGGGAGAGAGAGGTTGGGTGGGGACTCCTGAGCGCAGGACATGGCTTTACCACTGAGTCACTGGGTGACCCTGGACAATTCATTTCCCCTCTGTGTGCCTCCATTTCCCCAACTGTATTAAGAGGTGGGAAGATACTGACTCTTTGCAAGAAGGGTAATGCTCAGAGGTGACACTGTTGCTACCAATGCAAAGCATCAGCCTCACCTATCTCTACCTCTCACCCTGGTTTCATCTTTGACAATAGCAACTTGCACAGAAGAAGCCACAGCAGCATGTTTCCCCACCAGAGATAATCACTTTCTTCCTTCACAAACGAATCACGCTCTAAGTATGTGACTTCTCCACATGGCCTACAGGATGCAGGAGCCTGGCCTGGATTGACTTGCAGCAAGATTTGTGTTCCTATATCATCTCAGGTGCTTTTGAAAATCCAGCTGGGGGATCCTAGCACCAGGGTGCTGCTTCCACAGTTAACTTGGAAAGTTCTATCATGAAATAAAGCTGCGCTTCCAAGGACGTTTATGTGAATGTGGCCCAGGGAGGCAAACTATCTTAGTTGTATTAGCTACCAGGCAGCTTTTCTGTTCCTTTCACAGTTTGACACAAGTACATGGGAAACGTATCGGGGAGATGTCATCTAAGTACACGTCTAAGATTTTAGTGTTGGTCACACTGACCAATCCCACAGCCACTGGTTAGGATACTATCTGTGACAACGCTGTGCCCCATGAAGCTGAGCCTTCCCTGAGGACTTGCAAAATGCAATCATCCACACTCAGGAACAAAGAAGAAGAGCTTTTAGAGGCCTGGGTGGAGACTCAAGAGTCTCAGGCTTCTGTTGGCTGTCTGACCTTGGGCAAGTCACTTAGGGGTCGATGTTGAAAGGTAGCTGCTGCACTTCTGAAACACCTGTCTGGATATCTAGGTGCTTAAATACCTTTAAAAATGCCTCTCGGGCCCAGATCCTTGAAAGCATTTAGGACTTTTTAGGATCTGGATATAGCAGGGGTGGGCAAAATATATCCACGGGCCAGACACGGCCCACCAAGGGATTTTGTCCAGTCCATAGTGGGTCCCTTGGCCCCACTTGGCCCAGGCCCTAGTGGCAGCCTGGGCTGTGGAGCGAGTGGCTGGTTCCACCATCCCCAGATGTACAGCAGGGCTGGGGCGGCGCAGCAATCGGACTTGCTTCCCAGCAGCCCCCACAACAGCAGCACCTCCTTCCAACTGCTGCTGGACCCAGCCCTGCTGCTTAGGCACCTCAGCCCACCCACCACCAGGAGTGGGACGCAGATAGGCAGGATTTTTTTTTTTAAGGAAAATTTTTCATGTTCCAAGTCAAATCAGCCAAATCAATTCCAAATCCATGAGTCATTCAAGAACCAAATGTGGCCCTACTACCAGCAAACATCCTCCACCCCCACCTGGGGCTTCAGATGCTTCCAAATCCTTTGGCAGGCATCCTACATGCAGGCCCAAGCCCAGAAACTTGGGGTTTGGATGCCCCCAAGTTTCACTTATCCTCATCCGTAAGGTCACCGGAGCAAGCTAGGGAGGAATCTCCTATGGCCAGGCGGCAGGCATGGGACTATGGGCAGGCAGGGAGCAGTGGCCGGGAGCAGGACAGGTGGGTGGGGGCAGGATCACAGAGCAGTCACAGTGTGAGGCTGGGGCCCAGGGCAGAGCCATGATCTGCTCCCCACATGCCTGTTATGGGTGCTAGTTCTGGGCTGGGGCATGCAGGCAGCAGATCACGGTTATGCCCCCGGCCCCAGCCTGACACTGTCACTGCCCCAAGATCCCACCCCTGGCCATGCCCACCCACCCTGTTCCCAGATGCTGCTTTCTACCTGCCTGCAGCCCCAGCCCAGCTGCCTGGCCAGGTACAAGGCAGAGCCACTTAGGGAGTTTTGGTGAGCAGTTGCAGAGGGAAGAGGTGCTGACCTTGCCTGCAACAACTCACCAAAACTCCCTAAGTGGTCCTCATGCCTAAATAATTGCCCACCCCTGGGGTATCGTACGGGAACAATAGCACTGTCTTGTCTCTCAGAGGTGTTCTGAGCATGAACATACCAGCGAGTCTGAGATGCCCAGATACTATGATATCTGATGGGTGCCATGTGGACTAGTTCTTTCAGAACAGTGTAGAAATGTACCTGTTAGCACATTTTTAAATGGCAGCTTAGACACAGACCCAGAAGCTAGTCTCAGTAGGTCCTGGGATCATCCATCCATCCTTCTACATATTTTCTAAAATAAGTCCCAGAATTCTCATTTAGATATGGCAAAATAGAGTAAGCGATTAGGTATACTGTTCAGCAAGCCATAGAAAGAGCTGATCCCAACAGGCTCTGCCAGGATTTACCTGTAGTCCTCATGGCTTCCAAATGGCTTCTTTGTAACTCTGTTCCTTTTTCCTCCACCAATTCTTCCCTCTTAGTTCTGAGTACTTTGGGAGGCATAGTGCTGCCTCCACTAAAGTTCTTTGCCAGGGATGGCTTGAGACAATACAAGATCCAGCCCCTTCCAAGTGTGATAGTAACCACTGAAACAACCCAGTGCTTGGACCTGGGGACCGTAAGTCTTCCTATACCAGTGTAAATAAGGAAGAGCTTCCTGGATGAACAGGAGAATGTCAGCATCAAACTGCAGCAAGAGGGAGGAGAATCATGCATAGGGATGCCACACCTGCGTCAGTGAAACCTCTTACCCCATATCCTGTCTCTAGCAGAGTCTCCAAAAGCCAAATTCTCTAGTGGAAGGCCTGATCTTGCAAAATAATGCCCCTTACTGATCTATATTGTCCCACCAGGGACCTTCATTCCTGATCCATAGCTGGGTGAAGTGTGAGGAGGACCCTGTGGACTGGAACTTCTCCCTATCAGCTAGGCACTGGTGATATGTCTGAGTCATGGCATGGAACGAAACCAGAGACAGATGGAAATAAACCAGGTCACCAGGGCTGGCTTTTGGCTGATGAGTTCAATAAGGGAATGAGGGAGCAGCATTTGCCTGGTATCAGACTGCTGAGGACTTTGCAGGCCCTGCTGGCCCCAGGAGCTCAGCACTCACCTTGGCCTCACTGACCTACTCCCCTGTTCATATGGAGAGTAGCCCCTTGGGACAGGAGCATGGGATTCTCAACCTCTGACTCCTGAAGGAGAGATCCATTTCCCTTAAATCCCATGCCTGGCTTCTGAACCAGTCTTTGGGGATGGTTGCCCCAACTAGGCCTTGAAGTGTGTGGTGGGGGGCTGCTTGCTGCCTGTGATAGTTAATGATGAAGCTTGCAGAGAAGCTGGGGGGAAGGTAGGAGTGTCACACTGTCCCCAGTGAAGCAAAAAGCGGAGTTGAAAGCAACTGTCTCTCATCTTTGAACAATTTACAGTGAAAGGAAGAGCATGAATAGACAGATGGATTCTTTGAGGATATCCATGTTTCTGGAAATGCTGTCATCCTCCGGAAATCCAGGTTCCTCGGTGTGGAATCTAAAAGGCCTAGGCCACTTATTACTGTAGCAGGGAACTGGGCAGAGCCGCCCACCCCGAAATTTGTCAGCTATTAGGCTCTGTTCCTGGGAGCCAAACCCAGGAAAATTACTTCCTGGCTACAGGCAAAGCTACTGAGCAGGGTACAAACAAAACACGCCCACCTACGCATCAGCACACAAACCCACACCCATCCAGACACACAGGTGCATCACACAAATACAGAGACACATGATCACAGGCACAAACACACACATACATTTGCCCTCGTACAAAAGAGATGCACAGCTAGAATCATACATGTCCCTAACCACTGAGGCATACCACCCACCCAGACACATATGCACAGTGGCTTGTGTGCCCCTCCTCTAAACCCCTCCTTTCTCCCTCCGATAAATTAGTATAAAGACAGTAACAGTGAGCCCTAGACCAAGCTTGCCCATTTAAAGTTTAATTTTTTCAATGTGCCAAGCTGAGAGGCTCATTGATTCTAGGTTTAATCATTCATTTCTTATTTACAGTCTCCAGTGTGGAGGGTGTGTTTTTCTCTCCCCCTTCCCCCTACACACCCTGCTTCCAGGCTGCTGAAGCAGGACGCTCAGAGTTCATCTCCTGTCTCTGGTCAAGGTCCCCTGTGCTACTGCTCACTGCCCTCCAGGGACTGGAGAGACTTCCCAAGTTGTTTGTGTTTGAAAGGTCATGGGTGTTCTTGAGGAGGGAGCCGTTCCCAGACCTCACATATCTCAGCCGCTTACTAAAGCACTTTCCAAACAATGGGCGGGTTGCAGAACTCAGTTTCACTGGCTTCACTCCAGAATGGCCTCGCTTATTCTGAACGTAATGCCAGTCGAACGAAGATCACAGTTTGGCCTTTCTAAGTCCTTAAATCTTCTCACCCAGTGCTGAAATGCAGCTGCTTCTGGGGTAGAACATGGCTGCTGTTTTAACAGTCACAGCAATACTACCCAAGAGTTTGGGATGGGAAGTGAAGATTCCTGTGTCTGGTTGAAACAGGAAAAATACTGGCTACAATACTGGGCTTCAAACCCAAGCTATAGGCAAACTTCAATAGCCAAAATGGACCTCAGTTTTACATCTCATCTGAAATGCACCAGGTTCATTATGATTTGCATTTACCATCATGAAACCTGAGAATCATGTAAACAACGGAGGGGAGGGACAGGAAGTACACTGGGCAAGATTGTTATGGATAGCTGGAGAGTCTGACTCTCTTCATCTCAGACCACTACCCAGCCCTTGCATGGTACCACCATCCCAGCCAAGCCAGGAAAAAAGCATGCCACCAGGAAATGCATGCGCCTTTCAGAGAAAAGCATGCATTTCTCTGCATGATACAGAGAAAAGCATGCGCCCCATGAGTTCTGAACTGCTCTGAACAAAGATTTGCTCACGTGCTGTGGATTCTCCAGTTCAGCACATTGAGGCTTTGGGGAGCTCTACGATTCAGAGGATCTTAGAGCCCTGGGTTCTAGAATTTGGAGGGGCTCAGAACACTGGGTTCCAGCATTTGGACTATCTTGGAACTCCTTGGGTTCTAAGTCACTGGAGTTCTAGAACTTCAACAACAATCCAGAACTTAGGTTACAGAATTCAGATAGTCCCAGTGTTCTGTGGGTTCTGGAAGTAGTAACTCTTCAGGACTCTTCTATCTGAATTGAAAACTGTGGGGGGCAGGGGCAACAGGCCTGTTCCTCAGCTGATGTAAACCCCCATCATTTGATGAATCTAGGCAGGTTTACAGTACCTGAAGCTTCAGACCCAGCACACCATTCATGTCACTGGCAGTTAACACACGGCAGACAATAATCACTAGTTTTGCAGGCTCAAGGATTTTGGTCCCCAGAGAACTTCCCCCACCCAGGATCTGGAATCTTTTAAAACCCAAGATGCCCACAAAGCCAAGTGAAGTTTAAACATGAATCACACAGCCACAGCAGTCCAGCCGCTTACACAGGCCTCTGCAATGGCTTTGGAAGCTTCAGCCACCCCCAGCTGGAACTCAGTGTCACTCTGCTCCTGAGTGGCCTGGTCAGCATGGAACTGGGCTCTCTCTGTGTCTGGCTAAGCGGAAGAGCATGGGAGGGTGTCATGGGGCATTTAATCCCTCCCGCCCAGTAAGAGGCCGTCCAGCAGGGACGCCCCACTGCGGCCCCGCATAAATGCAAGTCAGGGGCTTTAATCAGTAATGTGTGTGTGTCTACCCCCAGCACCCTGGCTGCTCAGCCACAGAAGCTTTCCCCAGGGAGATGACCCTGCCACCCTGAATGAAGCAACAGACTGCTCACTCCTGGGAAAGCCAGTGTGGTACTGACTGCAGGAATGAACAGCACCAGCTGACTGGTGTGGTGGGGGAGAGAAGCCCCCGCATCTTATTCTACCAGAGGCAGATTGTAAGTGCTCTACACAGGGGAGCCACTTGCTTAGCTGCCCTCACTATATGCCCTTAGAGAAAAACAGATGTGCCCATATGCTGAGCAGTCACTGAGAGCCGGCACACCTGCAACAGGCACCTGGAGAAGAGATGGAGCACTGGGGATAAAGCCGCAAGGCTGGTGAGAGAGCCTGGAGCCTTCTTCATGCCCAGCGCCACTCAGGACATGGTGTTTGTTGGTTCCCTTAAAACCCAGGGTCAGGGATGGAGAGACAGGTCTGAGCCCCAGTGGCCTGTCTCCTCACCACGGGGTCCCTGGGCAGCTGGCCCACATAGAGCACCCAGTCCTGAGCAGCTATATCCGAGCAGGCCTCCACAGGGCCCCCACTGACTCTGAGCTGATCTAGCCTAGTGTGCTTTTGGGGAGAGAGGACTAAAAGTGGGGTCTCCCTTGCTACTGCGCTATTTCATGCCAGTGCTCTTGGCAGGCTCTTGTATTCATCTTCCAACCACTGCTATTCCCACCTATTACCAGCCCCTCTGTGACAGGCCCAGGGAGCAACATGCCTCAGAAACACCCTCACCACCCCAGCCTGCTGTCTCTCTACGCCCTTTCCCCCTGCCCATCACCACAGCATCAGGTCAGCACATGCCAGCAGCAGATTACTCACTACCAACTACCTCTGTTCAACAGGGTGCCCCTAACCTGTCCTGTCCATCACCAGCTCCAGTGGGCACCTTATGGCCTCCTGGGGAAAATCCCGGGAGATGGGGGGAGATGCCAGGTTCCCCGAGTCACACCCCGCATCTGGAGAGATGGAGAAAACTGATCTCCATGGCAGGGTTGGTGCAGGGAGAGGGAGACGCCTGGGTGCTGAACTTCTGTCTCTGCCCCAAAACTAACAAGCAGGGCCACTATTCTGGAGCCAGACTCAGGATTCACCCCAAAAACTCAAGATCTACCCCACCACCCAGAGACGAGTTTCTGTCCCCAGTGATGGTGCCGCAGAGACTGCTCTGGCTTTCTTAGCTTCTGCTCGGTGCCCACTAGCACCCGGAAGCCCTGGGGAGCCACAGGTGCCTGTCTGGAATCCTTCCCTCCGGCGCATACCTCCCTGGCTCCCCTCCATCCCCCACCTCTGCAAACACACTAGGATTAAGGCACTGTGTTGTCCCCGCACAGACCTGGGTCCCTCCCTAGTCCACCCACCTCAGGCTTCACAGTTCTCTCCCCCAGTAACCTCATTCACTTGGCTGGGGTGAGCGGGTGGTAGGGAGCAGAGAACAAGAAGAGAGGGAGCAAAGGGGCCATTTTGGGGGGATGGCCAGGGAAAGGGGCAGATGGGGCTATGGAGAAGGAAGAGCTAGAGGATAAGAGGAGGAAGGAAGGGAAGAAAAAGAGTAATGGAGAGTGGAAGAAACAGAGAAAGTGGAGGACAAAGAAATGCTAGAACGAAAGAGAAAGGATAGGGAAGGAGAAAGAAACCAGGAGGCTGCTCCCAGCGCAAAACTACTCCAGTCCCTGCCTACCACAGGTGAGTTGCTCCTCTTCACACACACACACACACACACACACACACACCCCCTACATTGCCAGCTGCACCCGGTGGGTCTTCGAGAATCAGGAAGAGGGGGATCAAAACAGCCTCCTACCTGGCCCCGATGATAGGCAGAGATGCACAGACCTGCTGGCTTGACGGCAAAACTGGGGATTCCTGTTTCACTGTAATCCTTTATCTACCTGCCTCCCCGGCTGCTGGCAGCCCACGCCCCCTGCTTGACATCACCGACTGGCCGGTGCGAGCAACAACACAAGGCCCCACAACAGGTGCTGGGATGGGGCCCGGATCAGGCTGCCTGCTTTGCTATTAACTCGGTGAACTTCACTGAGCCGCTTTCCTGATAACCCTTGCCTGCCCTGTGCCCAGCCCCATCTCCTGGCACCAGCAGATTCCAGGAGGGCAACGGGGTGCCCCCAGTGGGTCTGACACACTTATAGGGATGTTGTGTGCATTGGCCAGTGTTGGTGCTTTGTGGGGACTCCTCATGGGATGTCTTGGGTGTGGGAAGCAGCTATAGGGCTGGGCCATGGGTTTAATCAGCCCCTAGGACTTGGGAAAGAGCCTGGGACTGCCACTGCCCTGGGCAAGTCCTGTTTCTGGGTGATGTTGGTTGGGGGCCCTCCCTGTTGCCCCAGTTGGGGGACAGTCTAGAGAATGCCTCCTAAAAGGCTTAGGCAGGGCCCAAGGGCCACCTAGGGAGGGAAAGGGCCACTCAGAGCATGTGGGGAGGCAGACAGGATTGGGGTGGGGGGCCTTCTCGGTGTTGTGAGGCAGGGTGGGTATGTCTGGGTCTTTGAAAAACCAGGGAAGGACTGGGGTCTTCTCAGTATCCCCCCCACCCCTCAACTCCTCTCCCAGCTGGGTTCTGTTTGGTGCCTGACCTGGCCCAGCACCCCAGCTGGGTCCATGGGAACAAAGCTGCCCTCACCCCTGCACCCAGGGGATGGCCAAAATCAGTTACAATGTCAGGGATTTCCTGCCACAGAGCTGACCACTGGTAGCTTGGGGGAGGAGGGGAGAGATCCCAGATCCACATGCCCATCCCCCTCCTCCTTCTAACTCCAGGCCCCCCGTGGGGGCCATGAGGCCTCATGCCAGATGGCTCTGGCGGAGCTGTTCTAGTGCCATGCAGCCGAGGGAGTGGCTGTCTCCGAGGGACTGGAGCTCCCAGCAGGGCTGGCACAGCCTGCAGTGCACACAGTCACCACCAGGGGTCACCCTGGAGGGCCTGTGTTGCAGTAGGGACTGGGGCTCTGGTGCCTGGGAGCTTGGCCACAATTTTTGGAGACCCCAGACTTCCCTGAGCCCTGGCAAGAAGGGCACATCAGGATTTGGGCAGTGGTGCCCCCTGGAGACTACCCCACAGGTCTCTGGGCACATCTCCCATCGGCTGTAACAGTTCCCTCCTGAGGCTTGTGTGTTTGCTGGGCTCCTGAAATCTTGCCAGCCAGGAAACAGGCCCCGATCTGATCCCGGATCCGGCTCAGAGCAGGGCCTGGCCCAGCATTGAGCAACATAAAAACAGATTCCTCCCAACACACAGACAGTCAGGCCCCAAGGTCTCCGTGGGTGAGATGGCCCTGCACACCACACCTGGGTCATGCGAGGTTGTCACAACACACACGACCAGTGCCGTGCCCAGCCCTGATAGGAATGTTCCCTGGCATCTGCCAGCCACTGCCAGGCTGCATTCCCCTCCGGGCCTTACCTGGCCCAGGTGGGCTCCTTCACCTCCTTGCCCTGTGGGCAGTCAAGGAACCTCTTTGTCCTGCAGCATGGCTTTCTGAGCTCCCCTGGCTAACCCCACAAAACCCAGGGGAATCCCTGGGTTTGTGCCTCCCCCTCTCCATGCTCTGTGGAGCATGCATCTGAGAGGTGCTTCCCCCAGTCATAGGCTACGCATAGGAGGGGCACACGGGGGAGGGGGGGGCACATGCCCCCCCCGAGATTGGCGGCCACCGAAGCCACCGCCGGCTTCTGCGGGCAGTCACTGCTTACACCCCGCACCCCTCCTGCTGCTGACACCGCTGGCAGCAGCTGCAGGCGGCCCCCACCCACTGCCATGCTGCCACCCCAGTCACAGGAGGCACCAGTCGTTCATGCTCAGTTGTTTACCCCTGCTGAGGAGACAAATAGACTAAAGCTGATGTTGGGCCCCGGGAGTTGCAGGTGGCTTTGACCCACACCCGAGTCTTTCCTTGGCTTTATGGACCACCTCAGCTCTGTGGAGGAAAGAACTAGCTACGCTATGACCTATCCCCACCTGTCTTGCCACAAAGAACAGAGGCCACTTTCTTTTGGTGGGATCCATCTGTGTCCTTGATACCCTCAGCCCATTGCCAGGTCAGTCTATTCCTACGCTGACTCTACCAAAGAGCAATGGGCACACATTACCCTTGGACCTTTATACACCTATGCCAGCCCACCCTGGGAGGCAGCTGGATTCCTGGGAGCAGTTCCAATTCTTGGACTCCTGGAGTTGTCTGGAAACAATGAGGTGCTGGGGGAGGAGGCAGTGAGGGAGGTCACAGGGGCTTTGAGCTTCACAGAAGGTCACTCGTAGCATGGGAGGGGGGAGATGCTGAGTAAGATTCGCTCAACCTGACTCACAGCTCCTGTCACCCCAGTCCTGGCTTTCCTTCCCAGTTCCCTCACTCCTGACCTATAGACCCCTGCCATCCCCACCCTGAGTTCACCTTTATGCCCTTCAAGCCTGACCACCAGGCCCTGTGACCCCAGCTCTGGGCTCTCCCACTGTCCTGAGCACCCTATTCCCCTGGTCTGATCTCTGTCCCCTCCCTGGCCCCTTTGAGCCTGTTTGGGTTGTGGGGGCACCATACACAGACAGGCTGGCAGCTGCATTACTCAGCATTCTTGTTATGGATTTCATAATGTGCATGCACAGCATCCCGTCACAGCCTGGGCCCTGGCCAAAAGCAATGTATATCTGACATGCACCACTCTGGCCTCGCTGTGGGGGTGGGCAGAAAATGGGCAGCCCCCTGTGGCCTGGCCCAGCCACAAGGGGTAGGGTAGCTCTGCTTGCTTTGAGTGACCTGCAGGGTGTTCATTACCCTGCCAGGGGGGTGGGGGTGGGGAAGAGAGAGAGGCAGGCCCTGGAAGAGACCCCTGGACAGTGCCATCATGTCATGCCAGGTGCTAGCTGGGCACACATGGAAGAAGGCAGGTTTGGGCACAGATAGGGGAGCAGGGAGGCTGGGCTGTTGTGGGGCACCCTCTCTATATAATATGCCCTTCACTGCAGGTGCCTGTGCTCCCATTGCCAGCTCCAAGTGGCACCATCTCCTTGGCCCTGGTGCCACTGACCACACTGCTCACCAGCCATGGGCTGGATGTGGCTCTGACTCACCCTGACAGGCTTGGTCCCTCTGAGCTGATCTCTCTAGCTATGACAGAGCAGACCGAAGGTGCCCCTCTGCTGAGCCAAGCTGATGCCCCAATACCTGGCCATGGACCTCTGCTGCCAGGACAGCTATCTGGGAAATAAACAATGCAGGGGCCTCAAGCAATTCTCACTCATCAGGGGACAGTGACCAGGCGCCCAGGTGAGGGGCAGACAATAGAGAAAAATGCACCATACGCAGTCTCAGACTGATACCCATGGCGCTCATGCCCATTTGCACCCATGGGTCATTGCTGCTGCAGTGGCGCCTCCTGCAGGCCATTGCCTCTGATCAAAGCTGCGGCTCCAGGGATGATTTTGCCAGAGCCCGTGAGTCCAGTCAGCAGTGGCAGCTGAGTCATAAATCCCAACGAAGTGTTGGAGCAGCATTTTCCACCAGAACCTTGTGCAACCCACAGGGATTAATATTCAAAATTCAAGACGCAAGCATTGCCCCCCAGCTGCACCACTGAGAAGCCATTGCAATGGGTAAGGTGGTTCCCGAGTGAAAAGCTTGGCTCTCAAGTGGTTCCTGAGTGTTCGTTGCCCCATGGCCCCCTGTGTGGGCAGAAGGAGACAGCTTGGGAAAGGGCAAAGCTGGGCATGGATCCCCCAGTGCTCCTAACAGCCTCTGAGTTTCCACTGCTCAGTGCTCCACCCCATCTCAGCACTCTGGGCTCTCCCAAGCTCCCCATCCCACTTGAGCCTTACCCCCAAAATCTAGGCATGCGCAGGTCAATTTCCTTGCTCCGTGCCTGTTTCCCCTTCCACCCCACATTGGACTGGGAACTCTTGGAGGCAGAGACTATCACTTGCTGGGTTTCTGTGCAGCACCCAGGTCGCTAGGGTCAGCTCTTGCCTGGATCCCCCAGGCTGTGGCTGAGATACAGCCATGCCCTTCCACCCCCTAGGACCTGGGATCTCTGAACGGAGAACTGGAGCTCAGTAACCAGCCCACATCCCCAGACTAAATGCTCCATGAATCGTCCCTCCAATCCACTGCCCTTAGCGGGGTCCAGCCACTGGGAACCTGACCCACACCCCGCCCCCTGCACCAGCCTGGCTCAGGCACTGCTTCATTGAGCCTGGCACCACCTTGCCTGTTCTGCTCAATGGCTTGAGAGGAGGAGGAGTTTCCCAGGATGCACCTGGGCCCTTGTCCTGGAGTTGAGGAGGGAGGAGAGGGGTCCATGCCTTAAGGCAGGAGCAGCCTCTGTGTGGAGCGCTGTGTGTTCACCCTCCCTGCACGATAACTCAGTGAGAAAAGCCCTCACTGTGCTGTGGGTCTGGTGCAAAAGGGGCCTGAGGGCCATGTTGATTGAGGGCATCCAAAACCCTCTACTGACAATCGCAATATTACATCTTCCTGATGGAGAGGACACCAGAGCCTCCAAAAGGATAACTACTGGCCGCTTAGGCAGGCTCTTGACATCCTTCACAAGCATTCACTCAGCCCCACAGTGGGAGAGGGGACAGATGCCACTGCTCTTTTACAGAATGAGAAACCAGGCATGTAGCCCTGGGAATTAGACCCCAAGGGTCCTAGCTGCCAGGCTGGGCCCCTTGGCAGAAATCAGACAGACAAGCTTTAGCTGGATCAGAAATTAAACCCAGAGTCCCCTCAGACTCTGCCACATTGTAACGTGCATGAAGTCAGAGCTAGGAACAGAACCCAAGAGTCCTGGCTTCCAGCTCTGGGCCTTTACCACAACCCTGCTCTTGTCCTGGCCAAGAATGGCTCAGACTGCTGCTGAGAAATGCCTCAGATGGCCCAGGGCATCCAGAACCTCCCAGCACCAGCAGGGGCACCAGCCATATCCCAGCATCTGCCCCTTCTCTGAGGACACAAGCCACCAGGCAAGTCACTAAGCAGCCCTGTGCCTCAGTCTCCCCAGCTGTTCTACTGAGGCTGTAAGCCATGTGGGGCAGGGACTGTCTTCTGTGTGTCACAGGCTCAGCATAGTGGGTAGAGTTGCTGGTACCATCACTCCTCACAGATGCTGGACTGCTAGTAGGGAGGAGAGGGGAGGAGGTTGCAGATTCCCCAGCTCTGATTCCAGCTGTCCCAGTAGTGTTGAGTCCCCATATCACATTTCCCCAAAGAGCTGCGCAAGCATTTGCCCCCTGCACTCCCTGGGGGTGTAAGGATTGGGGTGCCCCATTTTTCAGGTGGGACAACTGAGGTGGAAGGAAGTGGCCTGAGATCACACAGCAAGTCATGAATGGAGCGGAGACAGAAGCCAGGAGCTCTGGCTCACAGCTTGCCCACCGCTCCTCTAACCATTGTACCTCATTACCACCCTGGCAATGGGAAGAGAACCTAGGAGACCTAGCTCTGCATCCCCACCTATGCTATAATCACATTGTCACACTACTGGCCCTGAACTGGGAACAGAACCCAGGAGTCCTGGCTTAGAGCCTACCCACCCTTGTTCTAACCACTACACATCATTACCATCCTAGAGATGGGAAGAACCCAGGAGCCCTGGCTGTTAGCCCTCTGCTGCGATAGAACTCAGAGCATACTGCCTAGTGCAATGTCTCAGGGGTGTCTGTAGCAGCAGTGCTCACTTAGCACAGGTATTTGGGGACTGGGAGCTGGGGTAGGAAGAGGTCCCCTTGGTAGCTGAGGCCTGGTATAGCTATGTGGGGAAAGGGGGAGGGAGGAGGCAGTGCAGCTGTGGCTACGAAGCCTGCAGTGAGTGTTGGGCCTTTTTCCTCTCCATGAACAGCCTCTTCTCCCCTGTATCCATGTGTTGCAATTACACAGGCTGCTGGCTGAGGGGCAGCACTCCAGCCCCATTGCACTCCCATTGTGCCTTCAGAGAGAGGTCCCCAGTGGTAGAAGCTGGACTTCCCTGTGCAAGACCCCCATCTAGGGGCTAGCAGGGGGTGCCTGAAGCCCTCTGGGCCCCATCAGATCCAGGCTTGCAACGTGCAGTGTTTAATCAGAATGCTTCCCAACGGCACCGCACAGTGAGTGGATTTGATTCTCCATCCCCAACTCCCATCAGTTCTCCTTCCCTGTGCAACACAGCTAGCTGGACAAAATGCTCCAGGTTGGAGACAAGGAAGCCTGAGAGAGGACTCAGTGCAGCTCTGGGATGCAGGAAATGGCTGGGGAGACTAAGCTGGGACACAGGTATGGTGGGAGCCCTGGGAAAAACCTGGGAGAGACTCTGGAATCAATAACAGGGGTGGATGGGGAGCAATGGATAGATATTATTATTAGGCCCATAAAAGACTCCGTGGGTCCCTGTGAGTTCTGGCCCCAGGTACCCTCGTCCCCTTCCTCTCCCCCTCAGAGCATGGATCGCCACTGAGGGATGGTGTTTGGCACCCTCTGGAGAAATCATTTAGCAACAGTCAGCATGTGTCCAGCTGGGAGTGGAGCAACCCCTCCTCACAGCCCGGGGATCTGGTCACAAGGGCCAGGGCCAGGTGCCAGCCACAGGGGCAGCTTCCAGCTCATGCCAGGAGAGCTCAGCCCTGGGGACAGGGGCTGGGGCTGGGGCTGGGGAGGAGAAGGGCCCTTGTGGAGGAGGCCACAAGGAGAGGAGTGTGGACCCCATGTGCTGCTGCAGGTGGTAGTGTCATGAGGGGAAACCTCTTCCCAAAGCCCAATGAGATCCTGCTTGGAGCTGGGATGGGCAAAGGATTATCAACCTCCCACCCTAGAGGGAAAAGCACCCAGCTGGTCTACTGGTCCTTGTGTGAGGGTGGATGTCCCCCAGCCTGAAGCAGTCACTGTTGGAATGCCCCATTCTCCTGTTGTTATAAACCCCTCCTAACCCCACTGGTGCCATTCTCTGCTAAGTGCCCAGCCCCAGGGAGGGAGAGGAAGACAGCTCCCCAGCCAGGGGCTGGATCCAGCTGTGTCCCACCCGTGGTTGGGTGGCATAAGGAGGGGCAGGGGACACAGCCCTGCTATATTTAAACCTAGCCCCGAGGAATGGGCCAGAGGGGATGTGGCCTGTGAAGATTGCTTCTTCCACTGTCAGTTCCCTTTCTGGCTGGTCAGACCCATCTGGGGCTCTCACTGGTAGCCTGGGTGTGATGAGTTTGGCAAGTCTCATTCCAGATCTCAGCACCCAAGGCCCAGATTTCCAAAGAGATTTAGGCATCAAACTCCCACTGACATCTGATGAAAATGATGGGAGTAGTGCACTTTGGGACCCTCAGAGGACCTGAGCCAAGGGGCCATGTACAAAAGCCCACCCCCCCTGCTGACAGCATCATGCCCCCTTGCAGACAAGTATCAGTCCCCACCCATGACCACTTAGAAGGTCCCTCCATAGCAGGACAGAGCCACAGTGATGTTTGGGGGTGGTCACTCTGCTGCTGTCAGTCACACTCTCACCAGGGGCAAGAGGCTTTGGGGTTCCCTTCCCCCCACCCCAGCTCAGCCCCTGCACAGTAGGCCCATGGATCATGAACCCCCTGCCATGTATCTCCCCTAAAGGGTACTGTCATGCCAGGTATCACACCAGTCCCGGTCCTGCCATAAGGAGCTAGCAAGAGGCAGATGGGGAAACTGAAGCCCAAAAAGGGGTTGTGATTTTCCTTGAGGCAGTACCAGACCCAGTACCAGCTTCTGGCTCCCAGTCCAGGTACCTCTGCACTGGACCACATGCTGCCCCTTCCTGAGCACATAAGGAGCCAGTGGTAGGCACAACTGGTTGCCTGCAGTAGGCACAAGGGTGGCAGACACTCCCCATAAAGTCTGTCCAGGGACAGAAGCCTGTGAGCCTGGGGCAGGGCTGTCACACCAAGTCTGGGTACTGAAATGGGTGGGCCTGAACTTGTGCCCAGAGCCCCCACCCTGGGGTCCACCCCCAGCTCTGCCACCATGAAACCTCATCAGCTTAGCCCTGCCTCTTTCTGTGCCTCAGTTCCCCCATGTGTGGGGCTGAGGGGGCTGTATCCCCACAGATCTCTCTTCCCTGGTGAGGGTCCATGACACAGAGGTGGGGATGTGAGCAAGCTTCTTACCTTTGCCCTGGTTCTGGGCGGTGAGGCAGTGAGGTCTCCCACGGATCCACTCCCGAAGTCTGCGCCCAGAGGTCCCCAACTCTGTGTTCTCCTGCAGCAGGTGACAGGAGGGAGGAGTTAGTCCCACTTCCCCCCTGGAGGCCGGGAGACCCCCATTCCACCAGTGGGGAGAAACCCCTGAGTAGGGACAACAGCAACACAAGCTCCCCCAGCCCTGGGGCCAGGGCAGCTCAGGCTCGGCTCCCCCTTCATCTTGCTGCCAGCCACAGGAATAGCTAGTACGCCAGCTGCAAAGGTGCTGTGGGAACCATGCAGGACCCCTCCCTCCCCACCTCAACACACATCAAGCCATCCACTGGGGCTGTCCATGCAGATGCTCACACAGCGCCCACCATCATGGTATCCAGGCACGTGTTCTCACCATAGTCACTGCACTGCAGTCCCCAAGACCCTTATAGTGAAAGCACCTGGATCTCACTCACACACACACACACACACACACACACCCTCAGTGTTGGCCACAACACTCCCCTCCTTGCCCCTTACATGGCCAGTCCTGACACCAGGATTTCCCCTACCAGGTTCTAGGGAGGATTCCTGATCCCCACCTCCCCCACCACACACACACTTCCACAAGAAGAGAGAGTAATAAAGGGTGAGAGGAACAAGGCTCCCCCATCCCCCAGCATCTTCAGGGCATAGAGTCCAGGAGCTGCCCTACCTCACCCATGGCGCCCGTGGCTTCTTGCATCCCCTGTCTGCCTCTTCTAGTCTGTCCCCAGCAGTTATCACCATGTCTGTTCCAAACCACCAGCCCCAGCAGGGAGCCTTATCTGGGCTGTGGCTTTGCTGTAATTTCCCAGCTATAGCTCGCTGCTGCTGCTGGCTGCATGCAGGAGGGAATAGAGATGGCAGCACTGTGTGGGCACAGCAGGGCACCCCACAGGCTTGAGATAGGTTCCTGCTTCTGCAGGGCTCTGGAGAAGTGGGCAGTGCCTTTCTCAAGAGTGGCACACCACCTCCTCAACCCACCTGGGACCATACCTTGGCGCTCACAGTCACTGAATTCAGCCTTAAAACCAGCCAGTGATGACAACTGAGGAAACCTGAGGCATGGGCAGGGTAAGTGATGTGTCTTTGGTCATGCAGTGAATCAGTAGCAGAGCAGAAGAAGGAACTCAGGAGCCCTGCCAGCCAGACCTGTGCTCTCACCTTCTTATCAATGGTCACTGAACCCATGAATCCTGCCTTTTAATTGCCTGCTCTAGCCACTCAGTGATCCTGCCTCCCTGAGAAAGTATTAGGACCCAGTCAATAGGACTCTCCTCACCCCCAGTCACCTACTGTTACTAGATTAAACTCCATCCCCAACATGCCCATGCTAAGCAAACAAGAGCAGTAAGACCGGCCTTTGCTACATTGAGTTTTCATCAAGGGGTCAGTTCAACTCACTGACATTCTCCTTCTGGCAAGCCTCCCCCTCTCCAGAATTGTTTTCCTGGCATATATCACAGGCTGGAGCTTCACCCTGAGCATTCATATGCTGCTTTTCTCCAAGAAGGACTGCAGAGTGCTATGGAGATGGGGTGGAAAGTACTAGCAGATGCCACCCTGTGGCATGGGGAGAGGAGGTCCTGGCTAAGGTTGCATGTGCAAACCCCTCTGGATGACTGAAAGATACAAGTGATGTCAGGCTAGTACAGAGCAGGGGTTGTAAGCTTGTGTCCCCAAAATCCAAGTGCAGAGTGAGGGTCTGGGCCTTGGTACATCTGCCACAGATGGGTTGAGCTCACCTAGAGGAGGGTGTGGTGGGGATTTGAGCTTCTGATGCTGGAGGGTGACAATACAGAATGGTCCCCGTGGAGGGAAGCCAGCTGTAGCCACTGCACCAGGCAGAGATGCAAGGTGCCTTCTCTACCAAGGACACAGCCCTCAACTCCCAGCAGAGCTGCATCTCAACGCATGCTGAAAGGGAAGAGTGGGTGTCATTCCCACAAGACAGGAAGGGACACAGGGCTCCTATGACTTGCCCAAAGGAAAGCAGGGATCCAGTGTCGAGAATAAGACCCAGGACTGGTGGAGTGATAAGGAATCCCCACAACATCTGGAGTGGGGAGGCCATCCCTGATGGATAGGAGCTGTGCCTCCGCCCCGGCCCCTTTCCTTCCCACCATCCCACAGTGTGAAACAGTCCCAGCCTCACAGTTAACCCCACCTGGACTCTGAGAGCCCTGGGTTTCCCTGGGATCTTGTGTCTTGCCAGCCGAGCAGGAACAGTCAGCCCTGCCTGTTCCCAGCATCTAAAGGAAAGAAAAATCCTTCGTAGCTGTACAATTACAGCTTTGGCTAGACTGCCAGGGCCTCTGTGAGGCTGCCACCTCCCTTCCCGCACAGCCTCACGCCCCAGCTTATATTATGTTTCTAAGAACATAAAGCTGCTTCCAGGAACCCTTTGGACAGCAGCAGCACTTCCAGGAGCCTGCCCAAGGCAGCCAGCCCCGAAATGCCTCTGCCATGACCCACCCAGCTGCACGGGGAGCTGGTTTCCCGAGGGCTGGGAGCAGTCTGTGGCAGCAGGGAGCTTCTGGAAGGCAGACTGTGCTGCAGGCTGTCTTCTCAGCCTCTCCGTGCCCCCGTGCCACCTGTGGGGAACACAACCCCATATGTACCAGCAACTCCACCCAGGCGGAGTGCAGCATTCCTCTCCTTACCAGAAACCTCCTAAGCTGGCCTGGCATTTGTGGGAGGGTCTGTGGGCTTCCCTCATGCCCAGGCTGTGGGCCAGCCATAGCCTTCCTACGCTACTGACTCAGAGGGGCCTGGCTGTGGGAACAGCCTGCTGGGGGGATGGGGCTGGCATAGTGAATGTGGGCTTGGTGGCAGCAGCCTGGATGGTGCTGCACGTGGGACCTGGGTGTGGAAGAAGGTCTCTTCTTGTAGCTCAAGGGGTGTGCAGGATAGGTCAGAGGCCATGGAGTAAGGCACAGGGGAGGTAGGTAGCATCAGCCTGATACAGCCGTGCAGCCACCTGGCAGTGAGGGGTGACTGCCTGGGCTGCCAGCCTCAGGCCACCCACTGACCAGCTGCATAATCCTAAAGTGCCAGGTGCAGCTGTCCATCTTGGCTCCCACGCACCAATTAGGAGCCATGCTGACCAAGATCAATAAATCAGCAGCAGTGGGAGGCATCAGGGGCCCCTCCCTCCCTCACCTTGAGCCATACCAAGTTGGAGCACAGCCCTGCCAGAGTCTCACTGCCTTCAGCTCCAGCCTGGCCTTTCCTCTGCCCTGCTGTCATGGCCCCTCTTGGCCCTGTGCAGAACTGCTGCCCCGCAGTGTCCCCTCGAAGCAGGAAAGTCCCAGGCCTGAACTCTGGCAAAGTCCCTCCCTGCCCAATTCAGAACCACTGGCAGTCCCCTTCTCGCCCTCTCCCACTCCAACTCCTGCAGAGCCAGGCTAAAGTGAAGTGGACACTCCAGCTTGGAGCCCCGGTGTCAGTGTACCCCATAGCAGCCAAGCCTGTCTCCTGTGTCCCCTGCACACACAGCTGGTGAGCATGGCAGTCCACCTGCCCTTGTCTGCTTGCATCCACACACGTACACACACATGCACAGGGACAATGTGAAGAAGCAGCCACACCTGCCCAAAATCTGTCCTGAGCAGGCAGAGGAGAAAGGCCAAGGGAAACCGTTCTTCCCATGGGAACCAGCTTGGTCTTTCTAATGAATTATTTCTAATGAGGCTGACCCATGGACTGCTGTAATGCACCACTGAGTGAGGCAGCCAGAGCTAGCAGCCCAGGACAGACCAGAACACAGGCCCTTCTCAGCCGTGCGAGAAGGAGCTGAGAAGAAGGGCTGGGGAGGAAGGCAAGGAGAAGGGCTGAGGTTGTGCCTGGCTCCCATAGGCCTGAGCCCTGCTGGCTTAGAAAGGAGCCCCTGGGGGCTGGGCAGCAGGTGCTCCCCAAGCCCCCAGCAGTAGAAAGAGGAGGCAGGAGCCAAAGGAGCTTTGATGCAAAAAAGGGTGACAGCTTCTCATGTGCTGGGACCAAGGCCTGGTCCCTCTCACCAGCACCCCCTGGTGGCTGCTTGGCCATTCTCTGCACATACCCAGAGAGGTGGTACGTGGGTCACCTGTGCCACAGGAAGCGCCTGTGCCATGAGCAGCCTGCTTCTGCTTGTGCAGGACTCAGGGGAAAGGGCACAGGCCAGGCAAATGTCAGGGCATGGGGAACTGTGGGTCCTAGGCTGTGGCTCAGCAGGCAGTCCTCCCTTTACCTTCCCTGGCTGGTAGATCTGTGGGGGCACCCCTATCTACCCAGTCACACGCACATGCACAAGCCCGTCTACCCCTGCCCCCTCAGACCCATGCCCATGTGCACTCAGAATGCTTGCACGCAACAGCATGCCTGGGCACCATCCTAAAGAAGGGGCCCTGGGTGCTGATGGGGCATGGTCCCCCTCCCCACTGGGCATCAGGCCATGCAGCTCCCCTGGCACTCATGCCACCCCTGGGGCGAAGGAATGGATGCATTACCTTGCAGTGGGAGGCTGTGCTGCGGCTCCTCTTCCGTTCAGGACACGTGGGTGATTTTCCCAGGGGGCCACGTTTCCGTAGGCAGGTGCAGCAAAACACTACCCCCACGGCCTTCTTCCAGGGAAAGCTCCGGCCCTCCTGCATGCCCCGATCCATGCCTGCCAGAGCCGGCCACTCAGAGTGGCCTCCACCACTGAGCCCCTCGCTGGGGATAAATCCCAGGGTCCCCACCTCTGTTATGGCTTTGGCAGCAGCACCCCCTCCCCTGTCCCTCTTCCCTTCTTTAATTGGTGAGCACCGCCATTAACAAGGGCTGGTTACAGGGGCCCAAGCATTTACAGCCATCCCCGCCGCCATCTGGCCAGCTTCAAGCCCCAGTTCTGAAATGACTCAGCTGGCAGTGCAGTGGGCAGCTCCCTCCCCGCCCCCTCTCCCCACCCTGGCCACGCCGCCTATACCCCTTGCAGCCCTGCTCACACACGTAGCAGCTGCCCTGGGAGCCCATGCATTTCACACTTGCGTAAGATGACAGGGCTGGATGTTTCAAATAGTGACAAGTCCAGCTCTGTGAGGAGCAGGGCTGAGCCACTTCCCCCCCCCCCCCCCCCCACACACCC